GGGGGGGGAAACGGGGACATTGTGGGGGCACGGGGACTTTGGGGGGACATGGGGACATTGGGGACCTGGAGGGGACATGGGGGCATTGGGGGGGGACATTGGGGGGATTGGGGGACACTGGGGGGGCACGGGGACATTGGGGAGAGACACGGGGACTTTGGGGGGACATTGGGACATTGGGGACCTGGAGGGGACACGGGGACATTGGGGGGACATTGGGACATTGGGGGGGACATGGGGACATTGGGGGGACACTGGGGACACAGTGACACCCTGGGGGGACAGAGGGGACATTGGGGGGCACCTGGGGGGTCCCTGTCTGTGGGGACAGGGGGACACAGCCGGGCAGGGGGTGGGGCAAGGAGGGCGGGGGTGGCCCTGCCCCCCTCGTGACCCCCCTGTGACCCCTCTGTGACCCCCCCCCAGGTGTTGGGGACACCGGGGAACAACCTGCACGAGGTGGAGACGGCGGAGGGGACGCGGTTCCTGGCCAGCATGCCCCCCTGCTTCAGGAAACACATCTGGATCAAGAGAGGTGACACTGTCACTGTCACACTGTCATTGTCACACTGTCATTGTCACACCTTCCTTGTCACTGTCACAGTGTCACTGTCACCCTGTCAGTGCTCCCCAGGTTCAGGAGGCACATCTGGATCAAGAGAGGTGACACTGTCACTGTCATTGTCACATTGTCATTGTTACACTGTCATTGTCACACTGTCATTGTCATACTGCCATTGTCACTGTCACATTGCCATTGTCCCACTGTCACTGTCACCCTGTCAGTGCTCCCCAGGTTCAGGAGGCACATCTGGATCAAGAGAGGTGACACTGTCACTGTCATTGTCACACTGTCATTGTCACACTGTCATTGTCAGTCTGACACTACCATTGCCATTGTCACACTGTCACTGTCACACTGCCACTGTTACACTGTCATTGTCACGCTGTCACTGTTACACTGTCACTGTCACACTGTCACTGTCACACTGTCAGTGTTACACTGTCATTGTCACATTATCACACTGTCATTGTCACACTGTCACTGTTACACTGCCACTGTTACACTGTCATTGTCACACTGTTACTGTCACACTGTCATTGTCACTGTCACACTGTCACTGTCACACTGTCATTCTCACACTGTCACTGTCACATTGTCACTGTCACACTGTTAGTGTCACAGTCATTGTCACACTGTCACTGTCTCTGTCACGCTGTGTCTGTCCCACTGTCACAGTGTCACTGTCACACTGTCATTCTCACACTGTCACTGTCACACTGTCTCTGTCACACTGTTAGTGTCACAGTCATTGTCACACTGTCATTGTCACTGTCACATTGTCTCTGTCCCACTGTCACAGTGCCACTGTTGTTGTCACCGTGCTGTTCCCCCCCCAGGTGATTTCCTGCTCGTGGACCCCATCGAGGAGGGGTCAAAGGTCAAGGCCGAAATCTCGCTGGTGCTGCTCCCCCCCCACGTGCGCTCGCTGCAGCTCCAGGGGCTCTGGTAGGACCCCAAAAACAACCCCCCCACCCCAAAACACCCCCAGGGCTCTGGTAGGACCCCAAAAACAACCCCCACCCCAAAACACCCCAAAAACACCCCCAGGGGCTCTGGTAGGACCCCAAAACCAACCCCCCACCCCAAAACACCCCAGGGCTCTGATAGGACCC